GAAAACTATCAATTGTTCCAAAGTTTGCTTCCAGTATCTCATCACAGCTGTTTGCATTACATTTTAGTTTTATCATAATGTAGATTTATGACATTATCCAAAGATGTTGTCTTTTAAATTGAAAAATTTTCAGGAAAGAAAGTTATTTTCCAGCCCTGATTTTTTGATATATGTTTGTATAATTGATAGTTTAAGAAGGGTGATAACTTTAAGTAATACAGTAGTATCAAATTAATTATTATTCCAAATCAGTTTCTTTCATGCATTTCTCCATTCTTAAGAGGTGTGTATTGCAGTTATATAAAATCGACTAAATTTCAATGGGTAAAATTTAATACCTTTGCAATGACACCAATTGTTGTGATATTTGATTTCTTAAAGTCATTGTATTTTAATGTTTACCAGTTTGGAAAACAGTCAAATACAGTAATATACTGCTATTTTTATCTAAAATGGATCAAATTCTGGTATTGCCCTCCATATGTTCTTCAGACATAGTTAGATTTTTACATCCTTGACCTTAGTTTTATAAATAAGTTTGTCCTAAGAACATCCCTGAAAAGATTTAGCCTGCTTCCAGTTGTTCCAGAACAACAATGGTAGCATCCTTAAATTTTCCCATTCTGTGGAAACTGCCTTAGGAATCCTTCAGAGTCAGTTTACCTCAAAGGCTGTTGGGTAAAGAGGGTGGGGAAAGAGTATAGCAGTGTCATTAGCCAGGGCTCGCCATTTATCACAATGGGACTCACTGGAGCCTGAAGCTCTCAATAATCCTAAAAATTTCAAAGACATATTCTCTTAAGAAGGACACATATTCTCATGGACAGCTTTCTAAGTCAGGAGCTAATGATACCCTCAACCTACGTGCCTTTTTTGGCAGATATGTGTGACACAAAGTATGGAAAATTTCTGCTGAATTGAACCTGTAATGAAGGAATTTATAATCAGTTCTAATGTAGTTGAGACCTAAAGTATATTAGACTTTCATCAAAGGGAATGATAAGAAGCAGCATTAATGTGGGTGGATAGTAATTATTTCGAAGCTCATAATTATTCTCCAGTTAACTACAGAGAAATGCTGGTATTTTTATTCCTTTTTGAAAAAATAAAAGGCACTATGGTCAGATTCTGAAATGTAAGAATGCATCATACATCTTTTGTAAGGGCTGATAACTTTGAATTATACTTATGTTAATAGCAAAGGAACTATTTTAGATTTAAGTGAGGTCAAAGTTCATGGTTAGGAGTCCTTTTACCTTTTGTAGTACTGTTGTTTCACCACTGAATCTATTTATTGCCCGTAGGAGATATAAAATATAGTATTTACTCTCACTCCCTTTCAAAAAGACATGAGGTCCACTTTCTTATTAACTCTAATAAGAGTTATGTGTGAGTTCCTCAAGGAGGACAGACCCTATAGTGTTTCAAGATAGGATAAATCACTTCTACACTCAGGTTTTAGAGGACTCATTTGCTTTATATTTTGGTGATTTAAGATACCCCTTTAAACTGCTGGTACTGAAGATGCACTATCTGTAGTTTAAAAGAAGCATAAGCTGTGGTTGGAATGTTGATAGTGATTGTTATTTATTATGACGGATAAATGTTTTACCCTTTAGGGAAATCATGTTGATCAACTTGCAGGAATACATAATCTAAATAGTGGTTGCCTAATTTTCATAAGAAAATTAATGACAGTTACCTCTTATGATATTTTATTTCTGCTTAAAATTTTTTAACATCAGTAATTATATCAACAGTAATAGATTAAAAGAAAAGAAAAATGAGCCAGAGTTGCTAATATCCTTGAAAGAAGGGAGATCAAGACAATGGCTTTCTTTCCAGCCTGGGAATAATGAATCTTGAGATCATATAGGGATGTTTCTGTAATCCACAAACATATGTTTACTCTACTGAGGCTTCCTCAGGGAAACCAATGTTGAATTAGTTTCACAATTTGCAACCCAAAACCTCTCAGATATGTATTCTCAGTTCCTTAGGCACATGAGATAAAGGAAATCTGCTTTCTTTCTTTTTATAATCTTTTTTTTTTTTTTTTTTGGTGGGAAAACTGTTAGCAGTCCTCTTTTTCCCAGGTAACCTTCAAAAAATCAGATGTGTAAAAAATTCTTGATGTTAAGGAAACCCAGCTATGCTTGACTCACTAAAATACTGCTGAAACCCATAATGTGGGAACAATTTAATATCATCCAATAATAAGGTTTTAAATAAAACCTATAGTATTCAATAAATGAAATTCTTTAGCTGGGAGAGTGACTTAATCCTTCCCTAGGGTAATGATGCCCTCATCTACTCATGATGCTGAAGCAATATCCGTAATCTGTTTCTAACCCTTCCGATTTGCTACAGTAAAGGATGTTCTATATAGTGTATGTATGTAATCATTATCCCACATCAGTTAGAGGCATGCAGCTTTCTGAATAGGGAAGGTGATAATAAATAATGTAGCAAAAGGCTGGTTCAACCATTCCCTTCACAGAAAAATTCTCGTATATACAGTATCATTTCCATGGTTTATCTACTAATGCAGACCCAGAGTCAAATAGCAACTGAGATCTATGTTCCCCATGCAAACAACTGGGAGATCATATGTTAATAAAGATTCTGTTACTGTCCCATCTCATGAAGACCAAGAGCTAACAATTCTGTATGTGTGCGAAGTATGTAAAACTATTGGCTCTTGTCTGTAGAACCTGAATGATTTCCCAAAGAAGGGAGTCATGTAAATTGCCTTGGCTACCCTAGGAGGAGAAAGAAAGATAATCATCCAAGAGACACCTTATAAAGCCCCACACTTAATTTAATTGTGATAGGTTTACATTTGTCTCCAAAAATTATTGAACTAACAATTCAGCAAAGAAAAACTTGAGCTCACATTAACAGTTTCCTAATATAGCCAAGAGTCAAGCAAATTAAGTAATTTAACTAAAATTGGAAAACAGGTGTGGTTTTGGCAGCAATAAATAACTACCACTTAATGTGTGTCGTTAACTAGTAAATAAAACCATAATTTTTATATACTGTCCTTGAAAATAAAAATGCAAGAAAATATTTTTGTTGAGGTTTGTCCATTTACTCCTTTAGGTAATTACAGAAAAATTAAAATTTTTCTAAGTCTAATATTTTACATGATATTTTAAAATTGGAAATATTTCAAATATAGTTCTGATACAGCAATTTTTAAATTTAAATTTTTTTTATTTTTTAGAAATGCAGCAACATTGTTGCATGAACATTAAATAATACTGAGGATACTTTCTGCATTTAAACAGGGTCATATTCAAGACATGTAGATTTCTGTGAACTTGCAACTGAGTGCTAATTATAAACTATTGCTTTCATCTAGGTTTTTTCTTAATGGAATGATTGCTTGCAGGACTGTGAAATGTATCATTTAACTTACTGTGTACAGCTCCTCTGTCTGTATTTGGAATGGCCTTGAAACTATGACCTTACAATCAAGTAGTCAATGGGTCCTTTCAGTTACATCATCAATTTCTCCATTTCCAATCTTTAGATCTTTGCCAGTTATTACTGTTTTTCAAGGCTGTCTCTCTGAGCTGACGAAACTCATCTATATCTCATATTTTCCTTCTGTTTTCTGGGATGGTGTTCTTTAATTCTTTGAAGACTGTGATATTAGGTGTAGTTTTGAATTACAAACATAATGCATAGTAATTGCTGAAAAGAGTTAGAAATCTTTCTCAAAATGTTTAACAATCCTTCCCTATGAAGTGTGCTTAGAGTTAATGCCTGCTTCTTTACTATTTATATTATTGAAATCAACATGACTTTCAGCCCTCTTTTTTTTCTTCCTTTTTCTATAACTATTATTTTATGCATGACAAAATTCTCTTGCTTACCGTTATGTGGTTGTCTGTCTTTTAACTTGAGTGTTATGTGTTTGTAATGATTGCTTTTTGCATGAGGATTATGAAATGCCATACAAATTAAATGGTTGTGGAAACAAAAAGAAATGCAGGGCTTCGCCTGCTTTTTCGTACACTGAATATGTCAATCATGTGACACTTAAAATTACTTTCATATGGCCTGTGACTTCCCCTTTGGTGTGTGCCTTTATTCTTAGCAAATTAGTGTGGTTAAGAATAATAAAACATTTATTAAACATTCACAGTATTTTAATACAATTATTATCCTAAAATATGATCCCATTATAAATAACTATACTGGGCATGGAATTGCACTAGGGCATAATTCCATTATATTTCTAAATTGATTATGAAATATAAGCCCTGACTCTGTAACTACCTTAAATGCTAAACAACAACTTCTACAATGGTACCTTTGCTCTACCAAGTGATGAGATTATTTATTTATACATTTGTGCAAGTTGAAATTTCTTAAATCCACGGTTAATATTTAATCAAAACACATGGGGAAATATTTGTATAATGACAAGTAATTTTAAAAAGTCACAGTTTTGAAAAATGTATGATATAAAAATGTATAAAACTTAAGTGTTAATGCTTTTACAAAAAAAAACAGAAGAAAAAAGAAACCTAAAATTTTTCGTATCTCTGTTTTCCCTAATGCTATTATACTGTCCCAAATTAAAGAATGAGTTTGGCCTACTTTCTTTATTGTTGTCTCCAATTCAAATTAGAAAAGACACTGAATAAATTAAGTTCTTTCATCTAATAAAACTGTTTACTTTTTTTGTATGCAGTGGGTATTTAAAAAAAAATCATTTCCTTTGCTTATGACTTGAGTTTCAAACCATAACATATTTTTTTATGCTGGATATATTCACAAACCAAATCTTCTATGAGATATTTTAGGGAAAGGGTATTTTTTCTTAAACAAAATAGGTAATCAACTTTGATGTAACCACTTTCCCACTCTTTTTTGGAACTATCCTTGAGAATTTTGGTATTTACATTTATTTTTTCCCCTCAGTCTTGTTTATTCTTGAATTGTCTTTTTTTTTTTCCCCTCCATTTCTCCGTTCTCAATCCTAGGTCCCCTTACAAAGAAACAGACAGATGATTTAGGTGATAATGACGGTGCTGAAGATGAAGGTATTTTTTTCCACCAAATCTATTTGCATGACAAGGGCCTCAATCACTTTTTCCACCCCTTTCTATTTTTTTACTTCTTGTCTTTTTTTGAAGAGTTGTTTTTAATTCCTGTTTTTGATGTGTTTTGTCTTCTTGCTTGTTGTTACATATAAATACACATTTTTAATTTTTTAAAAAATGAGTGTTAAGTTTTGCTTTTGATGCCAACCATTACAACCTTTTAAAAAGGGGGCATTTTTTTTGTTTTCTTGAACTGACTTTTGATATGTTTCATCCCACATTTTGACTGAAACTTGTCCATATTCTCTGAACTAACAATCTCTCCCCTGTAGTCTCTCTGTACCCATTTTGCATGTTTTCTAATCTATGTAAATATTTTACCCAATATCAAAATGTTTCATTTTTACATTTGATATTTGTTTAAAAAAACCCACACCCAATAAAATGAAGGACAAGCTAAAGGCTGAAATAAAGTGTTTCTTGAGCAGTATAATTTAGATTAAAAAAATACTGTTTTCTGTTGATGTGCTTAAATATCACATAAATAAATGAAATCGTGTAGATATGAAGGATATTACACCTATTTAGATAACTGTAGTAAACATTATGCAACCACTTAAGTACCCTGAGAAGATTAGATGGATATCCCTTAATTTCAAAGGCACGTAATTTTGAGATTGGCAAATGAAACTATTCTGAATTTCAAATTGTTGCCAACTATAAGTAATAATTTTTTCCTACTGTACTAATAACAAAATTCTTTTCTCTTTCCAACTTTCTTATGACATACAATTCTGACATACTCTGTAAATGTAAGTACTCACTAGATTGATTTGACATTTCTCATTCCATTGTGTACCTTTACCTGGTATTAAATGGAGTGTCTAGAGAGGGCCATTGATTCTTTCAGTTCATTTTGGCTCCAATTAGTTTTTGTTTTTTTTTTTTAATACCATCCTAGTTATGATTCTTATAGAGATAATTAATATAATCTCAGGCTTAAAAATAATTCCCAGAACGCTAGCAATTAAATCTCATAAGGATATTAATAATATGGTAAGAAAGATTTTCCAAAATAAAATAATCCACAAGCAAGTCAGTAGACATGCTAGTTCCATGAGGTACAACTATGAATGAATGCATCCTTAACTGTTTTCATTAAGATATATATATTTAATAAACTACTTCATAGTAGAAAATTAAATTATAGAAGTAAAGTATTAAAAGCTTAAAAGTTATATTGAGTGTTAATATTTTTATAACATTTAAGAATTCTTCTGATTAAATGAAATTTATGACATTTGATTAAAAATTCATTTATCATGAACACCACCAGTGGATTAAAGATTAAATACAATGCAGTCATTAATATTTGAAATAAATCATTATAGCTGCACAAGATTGTCATTTTGAATGCGAAATAGCTAAAAATAGACATAATATCAAAATGCAAATTGTGATTGTTTTTAACGTTGTTGGAAATCTGAAGTATTAAAACATCAAAGACATTTATTCACTTTGAGGACATGGGTTATTGTTTCTAGTGCTCTCCCTATGAAGAGTGCTGCCACTTGGGGGCTTTGAGATTTGTTGAACCCTCTGAAAATCCTTAACTCTTAGACATTTGTTATCTAAATAATACCTAAGACAAGACTTCCTAAATTCTTAGTGTGTACTCACAAGGTTAGTATACATCATTTTCCTGTTTTAAAAATATCTTGATTGCTGATTTAATATGCTTTTTTTTTTTTTTTGGTAAAACAGCATTAAGTGAGATATTTACATGTTTACAGATGATACCTCTGAGCAACCACAGTGAGCTAAGCCCTATAAACGTGAATATATCTCAGAGACCTGTTTTGAAGCACATGTAACATTTTTAAATAGCCATTAAAAATATCCTAAACCCCTACTTAAATTGGCAGGTAGTATTTAGGTTACGTACTAAGCCAGTCGTCATAAGAGTTATCAAATCAATAAATATACTTAAATGCTCAAAAGTGTAGAGTCAAAGCAGTTCAATTCAAGTTCTGTCAGTTCCTCTGTGTTATTTGGGTAATTGTTTAGAAGACAAGAAGGATAAATTCAAATACCCTCCAGATAAAAACCTTCATAGAAAAGTCTGAGCATCTTCTGTTGAATTTGTTTGAAAAATTTTTCTGTTGATGTGAGGGTGAATGAAAACCGAGGCCGATTTTCACATTTAATTTGTTTCAAATCTTGAATCAGCATTATTAGATAAAGCAACAGATTTAAACTACTTGATAAACTACTTTTATTTCAGTCAGAAGTCTAGCTATCTGGTCATTTATATGGGATTGTCCATTATTTCCTGATAGCCCAACTCTTTTACTTGATTTCTAGCTTTCTGTCTCAACACTGTATTCAGAGGCTACCTGAGACATTGACTGGGGTGTGCCCGTCATTCACTTAAACTCATCCAAAGCTTCTCAGTGGAGCACTGTTCTTTACTTCTAATTCTCATTTGTGTTTTTGCCATTATTTTTTGCCACTTTTAGGCCAAACACAATTGTATCAAATTTTAATAATAATCATAAGAGCTGCATATTTTATTGGCTTTTTCCCTAGTTTCAAAAAGACTAATCTGAAGTGATTAAAAATGGGTCAAAGCAAAATCCTAGATTTCTACCAATTTATTTTGGGAATTTAAGAGATATTTAATTTTTTAAACTGTGCTGGGAATACCTTAATTTTTCAATATTCAAATGCAATTTTCTATCCTATATAGAGCTTTTTAAAAGTTGCTCTTGTAGATTTTTGTATATTTTTTAACTAAAAATTGTACTTTTGATCATAAGTCCAGTTTAACAAACGCAGATTCATCCAACACTTCTATATTCTTTTGCTGGTCCTGAATAATAGCTGAGGTTCATCAAATGAGTAGGGGGCAAAAAAAATCTTGAAATATATTTAAATGTATCAGGGAAAGATTTAACTGAGGCAATACCCCACAATTTAAAAACTGCTAATTGCTCCAAAACTCAAAATTATGGGCAATTAAAAATTTCATGAGTCCTTTAATGAAAGAGAAACCAGTAAACATGTTTAAGGAGTTATGTGACTAATAATTATTCACTAGGACTATTTTTTTTTAATTTAATTTAATTTTTTTTTAATACAGCAGGTTCTTGTTAGTTATCCATTTTATACATAGTAGTGTATACATGTCAATCCCAATCTCCCAATTCATCCCACCACCACCAACCCCGCCCCACCACTTTCCCCCCTTGGTGTCCATACGTTTGTTCTCTACATCTGTGTCTCCATTTCTGCCCTGAAAACCGGTTCATCTGTACCATTTTTCCAGGATCCACATATATGCGTCAATACATGATATTCGTTTTTCTCTCTCTGACCCACCCCACCCTGCATGACAGTCTCCAGATCCACCACGTCTCTACAAATGACCCAATCTCATTCCTTTCCATGGCTGAGCAATATTTCATTGTATATATGTACCACATTCCCCCCATCCATTCATCTGTCGATGGGCATCTAGGTTGCCCCCGTGACCTGGCCACTGTAAACAGTGCTGCAATGAACATTGGGGCACATGAATTCACTAGGACTATTAAAGGGAATTATGACTTCGAACATAGGTTGTCAGGCAAAAATAAGTCCACATTAACTGCTCTAGAGCTGTTGGCACTTGCTACATTGGCTTAAATTTTTGGTTTATCAGAAAGATAAAATAGTTACTAAAATTAAAAATCAAGATGTCTACTCAGATTCCAGTTTATTATTTTTTAACTTGGAAATCTTAAATAATTTCTTACCATAAAAATTTTAGAAGAAAAATAATCTTCAGTGTAGTATTCCTCTTTTATCTTCCCACTTTTTTCAGAGACCTAGATGCTTAGCAAAGCTTTAAAACATTGCAAATAACAGAAAATATAAACATGCTTTAGGAATATTTGTAGTTTTACTAAACCTGAACTAGTGTTTTAGTCTTTGGGTATTCTTTTGATTTTAGTAAGGTCAGTAGCAGCTAGTTTAGGCAAACTCAGATATCTTAGGTAAAATCTACTTTATTTCTAAGGGAAAATATGAGACAAGGTTTAGAGGGACAACATGGCTCTAATAAATTCATTATAAGCCACTACATCTAATATATTTGAACTAAGACATAGTGGCCACCCGAAATTTTATTATTAAAATGATGGCATTAGCAGATAGCATTCAATGGTAGGCTATATGATATATCAATTTCACTTATAGAGCTCTGGTTCTTTTTAAAATCAAAGTAAATAGAGATATAATTTAAACTATTTACATTTATTATATTATTATGTTATTTATCATATTTAAACAATTTACTATTATATTTAAATCAAAAATGAGCTGTAGACTATGAAAACAAGTAAAGTCTAAGATAGAACTTATGATAAAACACTATCAAAAGTAAAGTCTAAGGTTGACCACTCTGATAAAACATTATCAAATAATTCTAATTGCTCTGTAATATAAATATGGCATTTTCCAAGCTTTATTAGCAATATTGAGTTGTTATGTACAAAAATTATACCTATTTTGGCAATTAATACGCCATATAGCATTAACTTCAGGGTTACTTCAAGCAAAAAGAAATACTGTTCAGAACACAGCATTAGAATTTTATAAAACATTCTGGAAAAGAACTGCTGGACACACTAAGTTCTTAGGCAAAGTTGAAATCATTGAGAAGTTTGGGAAGACAAATTGGAAATTAGAATCAGCCCAAACAATCAGTAATCTTTTCAAATCTAATTTTCAAAGAAAAATAGAGATATACCACTCAAAATTGCTCCTAGCATCTATTATCGTATTTTCAGTGTTTCCTGACAAAGTCCACTTCATTCTGTTATTAGGTATAAAATATGGCAGGTCTTCCCAATGTGTGCCTGCATTGTTTTCCAGGTGAACAGAACGATTCTACCAAGATTTCATTACTGTTCACAGTTGGTGCTTTGTAATTCTATGTAATTTTAATTAAAGAAGAATTCTGAAACAGCCTCCCTCTGTGCTACCTCCAAGCATACAATTAGAAGAGCACAGAGTCTGCTGTGAACAGTCAGTTAATGGCTTCAGTTTAATAATTTATTATTGCTTTTTCAGTGCCAGCCATACTAGAAAAACACGCTAAAACTGTGTGCAGCGAACAGGCGTTTAAGGAGGAGAGTTTGACAATTTCAGAATTGTTTTCTCTCTGTAAGCCTAACATCTCCACAAGCCCCCAGATCTTACAAATGAGTGAATATCATTTTCCCTCCCAACGATTTAAAGAGAAAATAAATTTAGGTTTTTTTTCACTAAATGTAGCTGAGTCTGGTGAATGTCAAAGTATCCTCATATCACCAGTTAAAAAATTAGACACTCTTCTCAAATACACCCTCACAGGGAGAGGGGGAGATTTTGATAAATTTATACACTGATATTAAATATTAAGTCAAACATAAAGTAGTCTTTTTTTTTAAAGTCCTAAATTCTGCAATTAGCTATTTCCCCAACTTGAAAATCTGGACAAACAAGTTGAGCTACAATTCCTGATCTTAAAATGATTTTCATTGAAAGAAATCACTTTATTATTATAGTAGAAAAATTGAAGCCTTTACACTAGTCATCTTTTTTACAAGAAGTGTAAAGCAGCCTCTAAATTATCACCAGTTTTTTCAATGAGTTTATATCATGTTAGTCCATTCTGAAAGTTGAAACCTCAGTTGTTATGATGTAGGAGATTTGTCTGATAAAAAATGTCAAAAGCAAAGGAACAAAGCCATACTTTTAAATGACACTTTTAATATTGTCATAAAAGAAACATAATACACGATGTAATTTTGTTTCAATTGTGGGCAGAAGAGATCATCGACCATTATCTAATGGTAATGTTTTAGGTATGTTTATATTCATAATCATATAGATATATGTACACATATAATACTTCAATCTACATAATAGTTAAAACCATGTTCACCAATATACTGTTTAGCATTTTTATCTCTAGAAATTAGTATCTTTTAATACCAATTATAATTATCCTATGTTTCCCTTATGTATTATTTCTAGACCCTTGTTGAAACTGCATAATCAGGGTAAAGTATCATAGAAAAGCACATACATTTGATTAAAATTTAGAGCTGTAGAAATCACTTTAACATCACCCTAAACTTTAGCATTTTACGCTTGGATTTAGCTGTATTCTGTCTCATGTCTGTATGACAAAATCTTAGAGCCAAAGTGGGGCTAAGAAGAGTAGAATAGTTACAAAAAGAGGGTAAAAAATAAGTTAGTCTGTTTTCTTCTTCCAAAGGGTAAGGGTAATTGGAGTGAGCAGAAGACCTGGACTGAACTGAATAATATCATTTAAATGAAAGTCCCCTAAATGCAACAAAGACAGAAATATAGATGTTTGGACTCTATTGCCTAAACATTCATCTGACAGTACTTGAATAGTTAAATGAAACTTCTTGCAACTTCTATAGCACAGTGTTGTAATTATGTTCTCAAATTGGAGCATAAGTTATTCCATGTAATTATGATGCATTCAGTACATATCTTTACAGTAATTAAGAAATGGAAAAACAGTGTTTTATTCATAGTAGCAGTGATACCATTGTACTTAGTTTATGGTTCATAAATTCCATATGAAGTTTATAACATTTGTAAAACGAAGTTTTAAGAATCATTATCATTCTATTATTTCTTTTGATTCTACTGTCACATCAGGAATCAATTAAAAAAAAGAAGCACTCAAATTCACACCTACTTCCAATTTGTCCAAGTTTTGTAATTCAGTTTATAATATTTAACAAAATTTTAGGTAGAAAACAATGGATATCTATTGCTCTTTTCTGCAATAGATCTTAATATAAGTTGCTTAAGAAACACTTTAACAAAGACAGTAATTTAAAGAACTATGTTAAAATCATTCCCTCTTGTCCCTAAAATGGAAAATGTATTCTCTGCTTCATTATGCGTGTTGAGGATAAGAACAATTGCCAACCATTTGTTTTTCAGATATTCGGGACAGTGGGGGTCCCAAACCAGTGATGGTGTATATCCATGGTGGCTCATATATGGAAGGGACTGGAAATTTATATGATGGGAGTGTCTTGGCAAGTTACGGCAATGTGATCGTCATCACAGTCAACTATCGACTTGGGGTACTCGGTAAGAAATTTCTTTTTCCCCCCCCATTAATCCATGAAATATGTGATAGTTTTGTTTTGAATTTTTTTGTTTTGCTTTGCTTTGTTTCACTCATTGTTCTATGCTTGCTGATTCTGAAGCAAAATTTTTGATATTTTCAGTAAATTCTATAAATATTCATAAATTGCTTGACAAAAGACAGCTAGGGTTGGTTTTAATATTTAATATAAAAGGTAATGAAATTATTCACATTGTTATGGAGTGCTCCTCTTAGCTTGGCTTTATAGAAATGTGAAAAGCAACAATGGCAGGGCCTTTCTTAAGAAGAATTAGTCCCTGGGCAGATTTTTCTCTCTTCTACTTTTCTTTTTTACAGTGCTATAAAATTGCCTGAGGTTTGCCATGAATGTAGAAATAAGTTTTTATTCTCTTCAAGAATATGTGTATGGACTAGCTTTGGGGAATGATTGCCATTTCTGTGTAGGTTTGTTTGTTTGTTTCTTAAATTTATCAAATATAATTAGAAATATTTTGTTTAAATGTATTTTGATTGAATTATTTGATTTGCAAAACATGCATTGATTTCATAAAGTGTCGAAGAGTTCAACTCAATAATGCATATACATGTAAAACAAAATCAAACTAGTGATCTTTCGTTTTGAAGAAAAGTATAGAACAATATTATTTAAAATAAATTTTTAAGTACTCTGAAATAGGCATAAACTTGCTATTCTACTTGTATAAGTTTATTTTTTATAGTATTGTTACAATTTGGTGAGTAAAATAACTATATCATTTAATAAGACACCTTTATCTGTGGTATTTTAGTTAAAGGTATTTGCTAAGAGTACAATTCATTACAAAAGTTGTTTTTTTTTTAATCTTAATTGATCAAAGTCTTTTCCCTTATTATGCACTTAAAAGTTATCATTTGTGTTATTTGGGCACAAAAAGATACCTCACTCATTCTTTACTCTGAAATATTTTGAAAAAATTATTTGAATTATATTCTCCTTTATAATAATTGTTAATATAATTTATTTTAGCCATTGAGAATCAGTTTATTTTTCTCTTCAGTGTTAGTTATTATTATTCTAATCCCTTCTATGTAATCATAATCTGTGTTTATGCCAATCTCAAAATATAAAAAGGAATGATTTTTGTCAATCACGTTTGTGTGTCTTGGGGAAGGAGATATGTTAGCAAAGCAAAGTGAGACCTTGATCTTTTTCTAGTTTTCTATTTTGAATTTGGAGCATGGTGGAAGACATAATAGATACACTCTGTCAATGTAGATATAAAGTATTTCTGTACCATTGTTCGAGTACACATTAGTTTCCCCGTCATGCCTAATCATGCATTGCTTCAGTTATTCTTATAATTTCACTGCTTAGGGATGAATGACTTCCCACCAATGAAAACTCTCTATATTAGAATATATATAAAGAGATGTTAATAATAATCTTCTTAAATTAATCTTAAATATCATAGTGTTGTCATCTGTTTCTTAGGCAAGATTTGAATGTGAGGATCTGCACTATCTTTAATGCATTTAACTTTAATCATGGCATTGTTTATAGCTTAGTTTTTAGCAATTATTATTCTCATATTTTTGTGAATTTCTTAAATTGAAAATCCTGATGCAGTGACTGGTTTTCCAACTGAAAATTTCAAATTAGATGCCAAATTGTGGTAACAGTATTTTTAAGGACTTGAACATCCACAAAGTCATATACACTGATTTTATTTTTAAAAAGTCTTTTGGCCACCCCTTATGTTGCCTCACTCTGTTACTGGTTGTACTCATATACAGTAAGGTCCCATAAAATAAACTGTGTTATGTTGGTATAAGCTTTGCCCATTTTAAAAAATGTATTCAGAACTGATGAGGACCTGACTTTGATCCAATTTGAATCCTATATTCATGTTCATATCCTATCTTTAAATTCCATACTCTGAATAATTGGATTTCAGGACAAAAGATTAACCAGTTAAAAAATGAAGAACTTTGTTTGTATAATGGCAGGCAGTGTTGGTGTTGATGATGGATGATTTTTCCAATGGTAAATATTTGTTCTGGCTCTACTGCAGTTTAGGATTTAACCTTTAGTTGGCTCCTTTGTTCCTCTTAAAGACGTTGTAAACTAATAATCACCACTAAGAATCAGCTGTCCTTTATAGACCTCCTCTCAATATGATAAGGTACAAAACTTTGTTAGTGAAACATTCTTAGGTGAGTTTTGGGACATTAGTTCTAGAACATATGTATTCTGGTCACTTCTAAAATATGTGTTGGGCCTTGTGAAAATGTATTTAAATGAATTAATTCGTGAAGAATAAGTTATCAAAACATTTGTTTCAGCACACTTTGCCTGTGTGGTATACCACAACCAGCTCGACAGCTGATCTGCCAGGAGAACTGCAACAATAAAGACTGTAGGGTTTTAGTTGTTGTTGTTAATACTTTGTCTAACAGTAACAAGGTAAGCCAAGGTTTCTTGGGTGTAGGATCCAAAAGTATTGCTGTTTAGTTGGCACTTGGAAGAGTTTTGGACATTAAGTAGAAAATAAGGTTTGATCCCATGTCAGAGGAAATCCTGAGCTGTGTTTTAATTTGGATGTTTTGGTGTTAAGGAAATGAATTTTGGGGTCCAATGTACAAATTGGCTAATTACGAGACTTACTGTCAGCTGATTGCCAGGAAATATCAGGATGTCTGAAACAGATAATACATTTTGATTTGAATTTGTCATCCCAGAGGAAAAATATTACAAGTTTATTTGTTTTAGCAATAACTAAAAAGGTGATAATGTTTCAGTAAAAAATTTCATACAGCTATCTAGCAGCCAAATTTCCAGTTTAAAGTATTTAATGTTAAAAACATATTTTGTTCATTACAAAGAAGAATTAGCATAGAAGAAAAAAATACCTCCTATGATAGCATTGTTTTGAAGAAGCTAGCAACAGGTTGGAGTTAGTTTCTCAACCAAGACCCTTTTGTGGTTTCCTTTGAAGTGGTAACACAGACTTCCAATATCATTGCATTGAAAATGCTACTGGTGGTAAGAAAAACTGCAATAAGTTTGGAAAAAAAAAAAAGCCTAGGGGATAGTGGATTCTGCCTGCTAACCTCTCTTCCCCAGTTTCATCTTAGAGTTCTCCATAATCATATCTCATTCAGTCTCACACTTCTTTTAGTAAACATTTAGACTTTCTTTCACTTTTGGTTATATACATTCTTTGTCCTCAGCCAGTTTTAACTCTTTGTCCTTGGTTATCTAATACATGTTATATAAATGTCCTTTAAAATGTATTTAAAATAATTATTGAGTTATTTTTTAATATTCTGGTATATAGTTAAAATAAAAATAAAAATTATTGTGTTGGAAACAGTGAGAAATGCTTTGATTAGGTGGTCTTAAGAGAGGAAAATAGTAGTAAATATTTTTACTGTAAATAGGGTAAACATATGTACTTATGGACAAGCATTGAAAGAGAATATGAAATAAATTCTTCACTATTAAGATGAGGTATTATACAGTAAACGTATTTGAAAATAGAAACTATCCACATATATTTTCAAATGTTAAAAATGAAAAAATACGTTAACTAATTTAGTGTTAAAAATGTGTTTCAGCCCCCTCTCTAAATTTAGAATAAAATTATGTTATTTTTTAGAGAAAAATTTAAAAAAATTATCTTTGTGGAGATCTACCTTAGGCAAACATAAGATTTTTATCTGATGGAAATTTAATAAGATAGTTTTATTTTGCTATGGATATTTTAGAGACAATTATGCATTCATAATTCAAGCACATGTGATTTATATTAGAAAAAAATTCTCAAAGATTTCAGAACTACTGATATCTCTGGATATTTGGCAAATTTTTAGTAAAGGGTCTAATTAAATATTTTACTTAGTAATCTTATGTCTCTACTACCCATCTATGGAAAAAATAATAGAGTGCTAGTTTATTTACTAGTTACATTTGAAGAATTACATTTAGCTAACTTCATAATGCCATGTGAGGCTAAACCATTTAAAACAAGCTTTCATTAACGTTACTGTGTATCAATTTTAATGAACAACTAAATTTATATTTATTCTATTAGAAATGGTTGTGAGACCTGTTAATTCTTATAAACTATAATGTCTATGCAATAATAATGCTTCAAGTATTATCAGACAAATGACATAAATAAATATAACTTTGGTGTGGTCAGTCATCAAATATATAACACTTGTTTGCAGAACTGTACATCTTCTATGCAGGATAAAAAGTAATAACAATACAGTCCTTATCTTTAAAGAGTTTTCAATCTAATTGAGGGGGAAAACAAGCACTCAATAGAGAATAATAATTGATATTGTACTTCATAATAACATATATTTATTAATTGATTTGTATGTACATGGTCACTTGATATATAAAAAAAATCAGAACAACAAAGAAAGAAAGGTAGCATAGAATATCAGATGGGTCAATATGAATGCAGTGATCAAAATTCTTATTTGAATCTGAGCAGTCTAGCAGAAAGGAGATTTGGTAAACTCTAGGTAGTTATGATTCAAAAAGAAAAGCATATTCATTTCTCAAGTGGCACAGTGTTTTGTCATTATTTTTCTTTTTTTTGCATTGTTTTTATTTGTTTGGCTCTAAATCCTAAAGCAAAGAAACAACGCTAAATGTGACCTTATATTTGAGAGTAATATATAATCAATTATTAAATTTTATAAGATGATAATAACCCACTATCATCCAAATGTGTTCTTAGGAGGTGGGAGAGGGAATCAGTCTGTACTTGAAGAGTCAAAAATGTCTTCATGAACTTGGTAGTATTTGAGCAAAACCATGAAGGATGGACTGTCTCTGGGATTAACTAAAGAGGAGAGAGAAGGAAATCCATATTTATTTTTATTTATTCATACTCTTTCTACTTCAAAAGAGTGGATGTAATTTGTGGCAAACACACACATATAAACAGGTCGCTAAAATCATATTGAATATGAATACCCATAC